ATATACAAAATAAAATAAATATTATACTTAAAACTAAAATAAATACATTTAATTTGTTTTACTTTAAGAACCATCTTATTTAGCTAGAGATTCCAAGTGCATATCTATTCACATCATCTCAGAGAACAATTGAATATGAAAAAAAAGTTGTTAAAGAAATAGCTCTTGGTTTTACTCGCCTGCTTTATGTTACTTCTGAGAAATTATTGCTCAACGAATCACTTAAAATTTTATGTAATCGCTTGTATAGAAACAGGAAATTACAATTTGTAATCGATGAAGCTCATTGTATTTTTAGTTTTTGCCATTTTAGGTAAGGAAAATAAGTAGGAATAAGAATGGTTTTTAAAATACAAAACTAAAATACAAAACTAAAAAAAAAAATTTACTTAGAGAAAATTAGAGAAAATTAGGAGCATTGAAACAAATTATCCTGGCTCTAATATCATGGCCTTAACCACAACTTTGTCTTGGGACAATATAGTAGATCTGAGAAGTAATTTAAATATTAGTGCCCAAAACTTTAAGCTTGTGAGAAGTGAAAATTTTTTACAGCCAGAGTTATATTTCTTAGTGCTAGATAGAGAGAATTCAAAATCAGACTTAGTAAAACAGGTAATAGATTTGGTAAAGGATGTTGAAAAAACTGACCATGTCATAATTTACTGTGCGTGAGCTGATGACTGTTCAAAAATATATGAAACATTATGTTTCAAAATAGAAGGAAGAAAGTTAGGCATTTATCATGGTCAATTATTAGAACATGTAAAAAAGAAAGTGATAGAAAAATAGAATAAAAAGCAAACATGTATCATGATTGCGACGTTAGCTTTTGGATTAGGCATTGATATGCCTGATATGTGCCTGGTTATACACTATAATTTCCCAATGAGTATGAGTAAGTACATATACTCAGTAGAAACAATTTTTATAAAAACTAAGAATAATCAATACTTTACTAATAGCTGATCTCATTCAGCATTCAGGTCAGGCTAGGTAAAACCAACAAAAATCTAAATATGTAATTCTTTATTCCAAAAAGGATATCTGCTCAAATTATGTTATTATTGCAGATAGTAGAATGAGGTAATAATATTATCATTATCGTAATATGTTAAGAATTCATTAAGTAATTCCCAATACATTTACACTATAGCAATGAAAGCAAAGATAAACAAACCGAACTCTATCTAATCAAAGCATAATGCCAATTGTTCGAGGTAATGTATTATTGCCTTACCTCTTACGAATGCTGATTCCAGCAAGTGTTAAGCTATTATAAATAGCCAGATGATTCAATACTACCAGTTTGTAATTCTAGTAATTCTTGCAATAATTGCATTAGACGTAATGCAGATTGTGTAGAAAAAAAAGATGCGCGAATAGATATTGTATATATGTTGAGGGTGGTAAAGATATTATGCATGAATAATGATAAATAAATCATACCTTCAGATATAGTAAGGGTTTTTTGTTTCTCAAAAGATAAACGACTTCAAGATAGAAACTTAAATTTGTTAGGCCTTAACTGTGAAAAGCTGAATGTATTGTCTACAAAAACACTAGCTGAGTTAGCATTAGCTGATTTGGTTTACTGTAGTCTTGTAAAACAATCCATTTGGTTAGAAAGAAAATCTTACTTAATCTGCAGTTTAGTTATTAAAGGAACAACAGAAGATGCAGATCTACTTGTAAATACGAATAGTTGGTTATATTGGAAATAATTGTATTTTAGTTATAAAAAAGATCTATTTGTATATTAGCAAAAAGAATTGAAAAAAAGTATTGAAAACGTATTGGTATTGAAAAAAAAGTATTGAAAAAAAGACATATGTATGTATATAACATAGAAGGTATAGAATATTCTAGATGTATTCAATTTCTGCATGTGTTACAATATGTTACACAAAAATTATTTACTATCGATTTCTATGAAAAATGATCTACGTATCCTCTACCCTTAACTCAATTCTTTGTCTAAAAACTTTGACCAGAATATTTAGTAAATGTCCAAGCCTCAGAACCTGCAAACCTAATAGCAGCAATAACTGCAGTACAATGATGAAAAACTAGAAAACTTATAGCCTCTAATACTAGCTCTAATACAGATAAAGCTATTGAACAACTTACTAAACAGATTGCTGAACTAAGTATAAACCTTGCTGAGAAACAGACTACTTCTATTCTTAAACCAATCTACTACTCAAATAATTCTAACAGAAACAGGTTTGACAACAATAACTAACAGAATACTACTTGCTATTATTGTAAAAATAAAAGACATTATATTAAAAATTGTCGCAAATGAAAAGAAGATTTCTGACATGATTCCTACTCTGACTCTTAATCTAGTTACTATTATAGTTCTCACTCTAACAACAACTATAGATTAGATAATAGAAGGAATAATGACTAATATTATGATCACTCTCGATCTCGAGAAAAAAATAGATTATATGATGACAATAGATACTATAATAATTTCAGATACAATAACAGAAAAAGAGCCAAGAAAAAAGCTATTTACAAGATAGATACAGAAATAGAAACAGAGATAACAATAGCAGAAGCAGATCCTGAAGTCAATTCTCTACTCCTTACCCTAGAGAAGCTTATGCAGCAGACCTTATTGATTATAATTATGAATAATTTGAATTATATTTCTTTAATGAGTCATTGCAAACTGCTATAGAAACCTATTTTGCTACTCCTTTTTTTAGTACCACTATTCAGACTTCAAC